CCATCAGACAGAAATGACCCCCAGCTAAGGAAGACCAATAGTAGCAGCTACACGAGATGCCAATGTTCTATATTTCAATTCCAGCTAAGAGCCATGGGGAGATGAAGTCTCTGAGAACAATAAGTAGAAAGAAGGGCCCATGACAAGCTGAGCACTATGTACTGTTGTACTTATTTGTGGTGCCAATCAATCGTTGCAAATATGAAGTAGATATGATTGAAGCCTCATTTTACGGAGGGGCTAACTGAAGATAACTTAGGTTAAGCATATGGTCTGCTTGGCATAGTCTGTAAAGCCAGGATTTAAGTGCTGGTAAACACCCTAAGTCCCACCTGCAGAAACTTAAGATTAAACGTAGTAGATTTAAACCAAGACAGAGAAAGTTCTTAAAACACAGGAAGAACACTGTGCTCCAGAATGAGACTTCTTTTTGTTCTTTGCCACAGCAAAAGGAGACTGTCATTTGTGTCAATGTTTACAATGGTTTTCTATTTTGCCTTCTGTTGTTGTGATGGAATACTGACCTGAAGCAATTGGAGAGGAGGGGTTTTGTGTGGTTCACACGTCCTGATCACAGTCAGTCAGTCTTGGAGGGAAGTAAGGCAGGAGCTCCAGCAGGTAAGAGGCAGGAGCCACGGAGGACAGCTGGCTGCTTCCTTTGACTTTTCAGCTAACGTTTTTTACACAGCCCAGACCCACCTTCCCAAGGGTGGCAACTGCCCACAGTGGGCCAGCCCCTCCTACATCGGTTACAACCAGGACAGTTCTTCAGGTGAGGGTGCATATTCCAGTTTAGGTGAAGTAGTCAAAATTAAGCACACAAGGTATCCAGTAGCACACATAGCATCTGTGTATAACAGCGTCTGATTCTCCCGTTTCTGACCCATGCTCTGTGTAGAATGTTTCCATTTTATACTTTGTTTTGAGACAGGGTCTTGCTAAATAGCCCAGGCTGGCCTTGATCTTAGAGCAATCCTCCTTATTCAACCCTTCTGAGAGCTAGCTTGTAGGCATGTACTACAACACCTAGCCTCCTGTTCATACTTTAACAGGCGTGTTCGGGGTTGTGTGTTGCTGGACATGCGCATTTCTCTCTGCACAGCTCCGGGACAGCACTGGCTCTCTGCTACAGACTGTGAGTGCATTTCAGAAGGAGTAGGAAACTCACATTTACAGAGAATACAGCTTCATAAGCCAGAGTTCTAAAGCCACATGCTGAGCTTTCTTATGGTAAGCCACAAAGTGAAAGTCTGAATGCATCAGGCTGAATAACTCACAACTAGAAGGAGGAATGCAGAGATGAAATGAGGCTTATTTATGGGTAATGAGGCAATACCCTTGCCTTGTCTCAGTGGTTTATATCTTCAGCTCCCCACACACCTCTCCAGACCCTGACTGGTATACCTCAGCTTAAGGAGGGGCTATTTCAGAGCACTGAAGCGCAGCCACAAAATAATTACTGCGACATCTCAGGCCATTTCAGCCAGCCTTGTGCCCAGTTTGATCAGATTGTTGGTTTATGTAGCACTTTATGTTTTCAAGGACAAAGTAAGGTTGGAGCCTGGTCCACAGAAAGCCAGTTACAAAGCTTTTATGTGAAAAATTGTCATGGAATATTAAAAAAAGAGAAAAATAAGGTAAAAGCAAAGTGAAATTGATGTCATAAATCTAAACCACAAGCCCGTGGATGAATTTATTCTTCACCATGATGGTTTTGCTTCCTGCTCAGAGACAGAGTTCAAGGCAAGAATGTTGGTGTGTTCCAAGAGTCCCAGCTAGCTGGAAGGCCATGGCAGGAAATCATCGGAGCCCAGGAGTTTGAAGCCAATTTGGGAATTATGGCGAGACCTTGTCTCTAAAAATTGACGACAAGAACCAGAGTTTAGCTTTTCAGAAAGGAGTGTGCTACTTGCAGGCTTTTCAAAGGCACTGAGGAGAAAACACCTTGAGTCCTCGGCAGAAGGAACCTATCGTCTTTCCAAATGAAAACACACAAATTCAGGCCTCAATGGCACGAGGGAACATTAAGAATGACCATTGCTGCTTGGACACCTGGCCACCAGGGGCCTCCCGCTTCATGTCTGAAAGGAATATTTGCTTTCTGGACTTATCTTCATTAATAGTTGAATATTAACTATGGAGAACAGATTCTATGGTGGTCTTCTATGATTTCTGCGTTTGGTGTTCACATCTGTGTGTCAAATTCTCTGTGAATGAAAAAAATTAGATTGCTTTGCTTCTTAAATTTCAAGTGTGTGTATGGGGGGAGGGGTGGCGGCTAGTGCCTCACACAGTGTATGGAGGGGAGGAGTCAGACGACTGACTATTCTATAGACTCAGTTCTCTCCTTCCATTTTCACGTGGATTCCAAGGATTGAACTCAAGCCATTTGACCTGAATGGCAAGTCTGTTACCCACTGAGTCATCTTGCCAGCCCCTGTTTCTAACCAATGGAATGTAATAAAGATAAGCATGCCTATGGTTATATTATGTTCTGTAAGAAAGACCTCATGATTGTATAATGTTCTGTAAGATAGAGTTCAGCTCCAAAGCTTGCCCCCAGACTATTCTTGCATATATGATTAAGTAAATGGCTGATGTAGGTGTTGAGGGCACCCTACCTCAGGCACACCAAGAAGCTGGGCCCTTGTCCTTTGACCATAGATAAAGGAATTCTACTGACACCTAATTTAAATGAAGTCTCCTCCGGCTAAGCCTCCACCTGGGAACACCTTGATTATAACCTTACTGAAAAGAGGGCCTCCCTCCACTGCACCTGAACACTTAACCCACAGAAACTGCAAGCCAATAAAGGCATGCTACTTTAAGCTACCAAATTTGTGGTAATTTATCACAAAGCAATAAAGCTAACATTCACATATTTTATATACTGGTTTCATAAGCACAGTTTTAGATGTAAATTATGTTCCGGTTCAACAATGAGAACAATGGCTGAGAGCTTTGAGTGAATGCTATAGAGTTCCCCAATGTGTTTGTATGGGCTATCAGAAGTACTTTTGTTATTATTTCAGATGATGGTCAGTTATGGGTTGCCATAAGCAGAGTCATGAGAGAGGGTATTGTACTCACAGGTCCTAAGACAGGAGGTCAGAATCCCGTGAAAGGCCTCATAGAAAAGTCATCAGAGTGGTAGGGATACAGAAGACAGGAACAGGGGGGAATGTGGAGTCACAGCCTTCATCAGGGTTTCCTTAGGAAATGCAAAGCAAGATGGGGCTTTGTATTTAGGGCTGAATAGTCTTGGTAGGCTCTACAGACTACAGATATGGTCCTTAGTGTTTAGCACTGGTCCACTTTCTATCAGAAGAATACCATTTCCTGGGGAGAGGGAGAGTCTGGGTGTGCAATGGCTTCTTGGCATCTCAGAGGCTTGTGCTAGTCTGAGCTGGCCTCTTCATCTCTAAGAACTGACCAGCACTTGAGAGGAAGCCTCAGCTACAAAGATTTCGTGTGTGTGTGTGTGTGTGTGTGTGTGTGTGTGTGTGTGTCCATGTGGGTGTGTATGCACGTATGTGCACATGCATGTGGAGGCCAGAGGTCAATATCTGGTGTCTTCTTCAGTTACCTTGGCTTTTGAGCAGGGTCTCTCACTGAACTCGGAGCTCACTGATTCACCTAGGCTCTAGGGGTCCACGTGTTTCCGCACTGGGATTCCACACTCATTGTACCTGACTTTTAATGTGGCTGCTGAGGATCCCATCTCAGGTCCTGGTGTGTGCATGGTAAGCACTTTACTGACTAAGCCATCTTCCCATCCTCTCTTTTAAAAAAATCTATAAATATGACAAAATGTAATAGAAAATTAAAAACATATACTATATAAAATGGCTTTCCATCTTGTAATACTTCTAAAAACACTAACCACATTACCCTATCCTAAACATGAAAGAAATATTTGTATCAGCCTGAATTAAAAAGGGGATCTGGGGCCTTTCTACTTTGAACTGTTTTCTATGTTAATGTGTATTGATTATTCAAATTCATCACTTCTGATTAATTAGCCATGGATGGTCTCTAGCTTTTAGCCAAGAAGGGTTTAGAAAGGGAAAAAATCTGGAAACAAGTTTTGGTGAGCTCCCTAAAATCCATCACTCCCATCATTCCACAGAAATCAAAGTGCAAAGACCTGATACAGAAGTCCCTGAGCAAGGATGTTCCTGCCTCATCTGCAGTCACCTCTCTTACCCAGCTCATCCGTTGTCCTGATCAATGATCCTCCCCAGCCCCAACTCTATCTGATATCCAGGGTTTTGTCTGAATTTTGACATTGACATTTGGAATATTTTGACTTTTCTTCAAACTTTGAAATGTGGGATAACATAAAACATTCTTTAAAATTATACAAATATCTGTGATTTTGGCAGGTTCTGATTAGTATCATATTCTTAGAAATACTGCTTTAAGTTCAGAATGGGGGCAGCCTTTTTAACTTTTACTATTACTCACAAAATGCTCAGAACGCAGTTCTTAAAGATCATGTAGAGAAATTGCTCAGGAAATCATTTCACATCTGTTACCTGGCAGTGTCTACACCCATGTGGTTTCTATTGTATTTGCACGTCTGTGCATATATTGTCAAGCATCATGACCTGGAAAAAGCTATGTCCTAGCATTTTGAATAGTAAAGTGAAAATCTGTGGAGCAGATCACCCATACTCGGAATATGGCCCCAACACAGATAAACTGGATGATCTGGGCTGCATTGATCATACCCTTTACCAAAGAGACCTCTGGATATGCCAAAACTCAAGACGGGCAGTCTGCTTTCTGTGCTGTATAAGAAACTGGCTGCATTTGGAAAGGAAACTGTGGTATAATCAGAGGGAGACATGGACTTGTAATCAGCACATTAGCTTTTGGAACCATGCAGACACTCCCCAGGGACCTTATGTCTAGCTCAGAATCTCTGCATCTGATAACAATGACACTATTTTATGAGGTCACAAATAAATATGCTTTCTTCAGAATTTCCTTTATTGACCAGATTGTCTGTGTTGCCCTGATTCACGGCGTTCACTTTCTGCAGGATAATGAGGCATCACTGGCATTTGGTCCGGCCTTTTCTCATTCCTAGATCATTTTTGGATGCCAGCTGGAGTGTATCTCCTGTGTTGCTGCTTTTCCTTCTTCATCCAATCAGTTCCTCACCTCTTCTCTTGTCTACCCCTAACCCTCCTCCGGCCCCAAGAACTGTTTGTCCTCTCAACACCTTTCCTCCCGGAAATTGGGATGCCAGCTGGTTCCTTTTATCAGCGAGAGCTTGGTCATGGGCCTACAGTGCTTGAGATCCATTTCTCTGCCTCTGCAGAGTCAGATGACAACCTAAGTAGCAATTATTTCCCTTTCCAACAAAGAGAAACAAGATTAGAGTTTAGCACTTGCGCTGTTATTTCATAAGAGTTCAGGGCTTCAGCACAATTGCCAGATCTTTATTATCACAATTCAATTTTTTTCAGGTGGCAGAAGAGGGAAAAGAAATATTCAAGTTGCCTTTCTCCTATACAAGAGCATCCAACAAGAGCCCCCACCGCCACCTCTTCTGATTCCAAGAAGAGAGCAGCAGTCACCATCTCGGCTCCCGGATGCCACTCAAAATATCAAGAGGAGTCCTTCAGTTTCAAGACTGGGTGGCTTTGTGCTTTTTCAGTCAGAGAGAGTTGACCCGGCTTCTCATCTGATAGCTTTCTGCAGACCCTGCAGAATAACGGGTGCTCGGCTTACCCGGTGATTTACAGCCGTCTCATTTGCTTCTCATATCTCCCCTTCCCAGAGAGCAGGAAGCCTTCCTTTCCTCTCTGGCCTCAAAGCAATTTTCCTTATCTCCCACAAGTTCAAGGCCCTTCTCCTTTATGCGCTGCCGATTCCCCTAAATAATGTTTTCTGTTTTCCTCTTTGTTCTCTCTTCTCCTCCCCTCCATTCTCTACCAATCATTTCCTCCCTCCCTTCTCTTTCTAGCATCAATGTTTTGTTTTTTATCAGAGGGGCCAATCTCATATAAACATAGAACTCTGCTATTCACTCAAGAGTACTGATTCTTGACTTTGAGTGTTTGTCTTTTCCCTGGCTCACTAGCCCATTCTCAGGAGTGCCTTTCTCGTTCTTAATCTTCTATTGCAAAGAGGGGGAAAGTAATAATGTTTCTTTAATAATTGAGAGATGCTGGCTAAGCATTTGCAATTGTTCCTGTGAATCACAGAACTTTGTGGTTATTGTTGTCGCAATATTTCCGATATGTCTGAAAAATGGTGTGCCAGCATTCAGCTACAGAGAGATGTGTCTGTACAGCTCCTTCTCCAGTTGCACCTAACACAAAGACTGAGTGCATGGAGGTGAGCCAGCAGGTAGGTGTGTGTGTGTGTGTGTGTGTGTGTGTGTGTGTGTGTGTGTGTGTGTAATATAAGGAAGGGAAGTGGGTAAGGGGGACAATACTAAGGTAACTACCATGGTGTGCAAAGGAAGCTTTGTTCTGTGAAGAAGTTTTTAAAGATAGTATAAAACACAGATTTGATTATGATCACAGCTGTGAGGCAAGGGATTTGGGAATTTTTTTTCTCAACACACGGTTTCCCAGTATTGCTTTGGAGCCTGTTCTGGAACTCCCTCTGTAGAACAGCCTGGATCTCACAGAGATCTGCCTGCTTCCTGAATGCTGGGACTAAAGGCAGGTGTCACCACCGCCCAGTGGGACTTGGGAATTTATAAGCTGTAGCAAAGGAATGCCTCTAATGGTTATATGTAGTGCTCCAGCGTGGGGCACCTCTTTATGGATGTTTGGGTGGCAACATAATCTACCACCACTGTTACTTTCAACTGGTGGCATGTCAGGCCGACAGCAGTTATAAATTACCCAGACTGCCTTGCATGGAGGTAAAGTGGGCTGCGGATGAGAAGTTGTGACTGCCGGCTGTTAGGAAACAGGCTGGCACACACAAGAGACAGAGCAGGCACGTGTCTGCTGTCTGCTCTAGCAGCCAGAGAGGAAACCTGGAAGGCCTGCCTTCTCCTTCCAGCTCTGAAAATCTCTCTATCTGAGGGGCTGGTAAGATATTCCCACTATGGAAGCAATGTCTTATCTCCCAGGATTCAAGAAAGATGCAGAATCCTGAGAAGCTCTTCTTTGTGGTGCTGCTGGGAGTCCAGGAGGGCGAGGATGAGTTGGTGGCTGCATCTTAGCAGCAGCTGCCTGGTCCATGGCTGTCATCTCAGCATGCCCCAGCCCACAACAAGTTCATCTCCTGTTTCTCCTGGCAAGTGTTGGTTTCTCTCACTTGTAACTTAAGAACAACTGGTCCTTTGAGAATGACAAAAGCCTGACTGCCAGCAACACCCTGCTCTGTGAAGACGCCATTTCCAGCATTTAGAGGAGGCACAGAAACAAAGGCAAGAGAAGACAGGCATTGGGCCTTCAACAAACTCACTGTCTATTTGAACAGATAAGAAGCCAGCAATCACATATGTGCATATGCACACATGCCAGGTCTGGTGGCTTATATCTGTAATCTCGATACTCAAGAGGCTGAGGCAGGAGGATTAGGAGCTCAAAGCCAGCCTTGGATTTATGAGATCCTGTCTCCAAAACAAAACAAAGCAACCAACAAATCCTGAAATATATTCACACCTTTAATTTACATATATTAAGTTCTTTATGTAAACATTAGCTTTCATAGACTTGGATCAGCACTGTGACCTGTACAGGAAGTTCTGCTGCCCAAAATTTTGCACAGAAAGAACCTGAGGCCTGGGAAAGTTAATCAATATTCTCCAAACACTACAAAATTAGGTAATATTTCCAGAATGCTTCAGTGGGGACAAGCTATCAAGACAGATTCCATTGTGTCTGCTCTGCTGTAAACTCTTCCCGTCAGGGCTCTTTCAGGATAGCCTCGCTGACATAGGCAAAGAAACTAGGACAGGACTTGGGCCAAATCCAGCCAGCCCATTCTCTCTGCAAACAACCATTAGCTGGAGCACAGCCACAGCCACTTGCTTGTGGATTATCTGGCTGTTGTCATGCTCAGCTGCCACAGATCATTTGACCTTCAAGACATTTTCAGAGAAAGTTGGCAAATGCTGGGCTAGAAGAGTTTCAAATAATTAACTTCACTGAATTAAGTGCCAAGGAGTCTCCTCCTACTTGGTGTCATTTGATCTGTACTATGCTAGAGATGTTAATTGCTGCATTGATAAGTACTAAAGAGCAGTAGCTATGATAGTAATTAGAAATAGCCCATTCCTAATGATAATGTTGTAATGGCCATCATCAATGAGGGCCACTCAGGCTCAGGGTGAATGCTTCACTAACATGGCGTGACTTACCTGATTGCAGATTCGTGGGGTTCAGTAAATAGTGTTAGAGCAACGACGTGGTAAATGGCAAAGCTAAGCTAGAGCTCTTCCTCATCAGTTACCCCTAGAGACGAGGCTCTGGCTCCTCATGTGTCTACAGGTCTCCTCCTACATCACAAAGAATAGGCACAAGGATACTAGTTTTCTCTGCTTCTGAGGAGATGGGCCAATAACCATGGCCACATGAAGAAATTTGGTAGCAATGAGACAGTGGGTACCAGGTTGTTCAGAGGAGGACAGTTTGGGTGTGATAAGTGCTTCCATTGACAAACTAAGTTCCGGCTGGTAATTAACAAGATCACCTGCTGTTTTCTCAAAGAAATATGTTGACAAGCCACACAAGGTAGCACTGATTGACAGCTAGCACACAGTGGAAGGAAACAACTCCCAAAAGTTGTCCTGTGACTTCTACATTTGACCTGTGGCATGCATTTATCTACTGGTCAAGACACACACACACACACACACACACACACACTAAATAAAGTTTAAAAACAAAAGTTCAGTTATAAGGCAGAGTCCCCCTACTCTTCCCATACTAACATGGCAAAAGGATAGGACATGAGTCTTTTTATAGAGGGCTGAAAATAGAGGTGCCTTATCCTGGAGTGCCTGTGTTTCTGGAAGGCTCTGGATTCATGACTGTGGCCTCATGTGCCTGAGATCTCACAGACCCCCTGTAGGACACCACTCTTAGGTCACTAGAAAGCTCAACCTTACAGTATCAGGTGACCAAGGATGTAAACAACCTCACAGTCTCTGTACCCATAGATGTGGACCTTGGTATGTGTCCTAGTCAGCGTCTGTGGTCTCAGTCCTGAGGACAAATCTCCAATGTCAGCCTTATCATATGGCTTGTGGTCACAACTTAGGCGCTCTCAGGGAAGGGAGGACCTCCCATTGGTATCGTCCCACACACAGAGTAGGTGGCTGGAAAAAATCTAGTAGAACATGGTACGTACAGTCTCAGGGGAGCTAAAGCAGATGGACGTGTCTGTTGGCCCTTTACTCAGGTATGAATTCGCTGGACTCTTGTAGGATAAGGACCAGGGTGTGATTTTGGTTCCTGAAATTCAGAACGAAGCTTTGGGTCTCCTATACTCTCCAGATAGCATGATACTTTTTTGTATGTATATTCATGTATATGCATTGGTTTGTGTTCATGTAGATGCATGTGTATGTGGGTGGGTACACATATGTACACATGTGAATGGAGGTCTGAGGTCAACCTTAGGTGTCATTGTTCCTTATGAACCATCTATGGTGTATTTTGAGACAGAGTTTCCCATTGTCCTGGAACTGCCTATTAGGATAGTCTGACTGGCCAGCAAACCTCAGGGGTCTTCCTGCTTCTGCCTCTCCAGTGCTGGGATTACTAGTGTCTACAGGCTGAACTCAGATTCTCAGCTTGCAAGGCAGGCAGTTTTACTGATAGCTCCCCACCTCCAATAGCATATTAGTAACATGATACGAACAACTGTATCTGTGATAAGAGCTGTCACTTCATTTGGTGTGAGTTAGCCTAAGTGCCCTCTGTGGCTTTTTGTTGCTATATGAAATTCCTGAGAGGATCGGCTTATGGAGAAGAAAGAGTTATCTGGCTCACAAGTTTGGAGGATTCAGTCAGTTGTTAGATAGGCCTATGGCTTTTGGGCCCATGGTCAGATAAAACATCACGACACCAGCATGTAAGGAGAGACTCATTCAAGAGACAGCCAGAATTAAAGACAGAAGAGGAACTGGTGTCCTGCAATCCCCTCTGAGGGCAAGCACATGGAAGGCATCTGGGCTCAGCTTGTCTAGGACCCACAGGCTACCGTGAAGGAGTTGGGTGGATCGTATCTTTGCCTGGACACTGCACTGAGCACTGAGGAAGAATCCACCTGTGAGCTCACTTGGATTGTTGGAGAAATTCATTTCATTATACTATATGACTGAGGACCCCAGGTTCTTATTGGCTCTTAGCAACAGAAGTCCTCTAAGTCCCTGTGCCTTCCCACTGTCCTCATCATGTGATTCTCCTCACAGTCAGATCATATAGTTTTTCTGAGGCTAGGAGGACCTTCCCTGTGCCTACTGAGAACTTTTTTGAGCCAGATTTTGTTGTTTTGTGGTTTTTTTTGGAAATGGTCCAGGCTGGCCTCAAACTCAATATGTATCTGAGAATGACATTGAACTCCTGATCTTCCTTCATATACCACCCAAGTACTGGAATTAGAGTCATGAGATTACACAATGTCAGTTTAAGATGAAAGCTCGCTTTGTTCTGTGAGATAGGTTCTTGCTATATAGCCCAGGCTAGATTTAAACTCACTATGTAACCCCAGCTGACTTTCAGTTTATTATGTGTGTGCCTATGAGTCCTGGAAGGGTAGGCCTGTGTTTTTAGGCTTGACTAAGATAGGATCAGTGTCATCAGGGCAAGACAGCATCTTATCACTTTCCTCATAGACTGCAGCATAATTGAAGCATTGACGATCCATCAAGTTTGCCATATTCTGTGGTTTCCAGCAAGTCACAGCCCTATTCACTCTCAAGGGAAGAGGATTACACCAAAGTGAAGGTCACTGAAGGCCAGTTAAGCCTCCTATAATCACATCATCTCTAAGTGGTGGGTCAGGGATCAGAGCCATGTGGACTGTGCCTCCCTGCAGCCCCAATTTCCTTGCCTT